AAAATAATTATTCATGATATATGAAAATTATAGGAAATTCCAATTTCAGTGTCCGTAAAGTAATTTTAAAAATACATGTATTGTTACAGAGCCATGCTCCTTTGTTTTCATGTCACCTCTGGCTCTGTTGCCATAGGCAAAGTTGAGGCGTGTCAGGAAGCCTCTATGCCCTGCAGAAACATTTACTGAAACACTCCCTGGCCTTTTACAGAAACAGGTGGCTGGTCCCTGGGTTAGACAGGAAGCTTCATGAATATAACCATGGGTTTATGAGTGCCCCAGCACTAAGCCCAGTACCTGGTAGCATTCAATAAATGTTTGTTGAGTGACTGAGTAATGGAATAATTAAGTGTATGGATTGTGGCTTCACCTTACTTGTGTTTGAGCCCATGTTGCCCACCCTCCTCAGAGTTCTGAGGTTCTGGATCACTCTGGTACACAGAAAGAGACAGTTCCCAAATTTGTGGCCTCACTTCCTTTTACACTCCTGAAAAACAATCTGACCCCAAAAAGCTTTTGCATGCATGAATTTTATCTATTGACATTTACTATATTAGAAATTAAAACAAATTTGAAAATCACATATTAACTCATTTACAAATAGGGATAACAAATTTATTCTTGCTAACATAAATACATATTTCTATGAAAAATGACAATTTTCCCCAAAACAGTTCAGTGAAAGAAGTGCATTGTTCATACATTTTGCAAATATTTTTAATGCCTGGCCTCAGAGAAGGCAGCTGGACCTTTTTAGTTCAGTATTTAATCTGTGGCAAATTTGAAATGGATGAAGGAAACCCAGTCTCACACAGATATGAAGTAGGAAAATGGAGAGGTATTTTAATACCATTTTCAGAGAACAGTGGGTATTCTGCTTGATACTATGCCAAAATTCAACAGTTGGTAGTTTCCTAAAAGTTAATTGCATCGTGGAATCTGAAATCATATCAATTGAGTAGTTTGTTCTCCCTGGCCTTGAAATCCAGTGAGTGGGTATTTTACTCTTTGGGGTATAATTATTGAAGAGGTTATAAGTGCAATGTAGTTCAATTCTTTCTTTTCCATTCAGGAAATTCCCCAGATCCTTGGGGAAATGGGAGGTGTTTCTGGACATTGTTCACCCAGACTGCGCAGGATGTGAAAGGGGATCCAAAGTCGTGTACACATGCCGCTCCCCAGTCAGTCATGGGCTTTGTCGCTGTTTTCATTAATCTGGACACCCAAATGCAACCTCAGTACGATGGATTTCTCCAGCCCCTGTCTTGGGGAACTTCTCTTTTGAAATTAAATCATCAGGCTTGTTTTAACTCTCTCTCTCTTTTTTTTTTTTCAAAGTTGATGTGAAACATCCATAAACTAAAATTAGGTTAGCATTGGTACCATGCTGGTTGACAAATACAAAGGGTATTAACTTCTCGGCTTCAGGGCACAAGATAATTGGATGAGGGGAAAGTTAGGAAAAGATGCTTCTCTTCTCCAACATGACATAACACTCCATGAACAGCTAGGAGCATTAACGTTAATTCGTAAAAGTTTTATAGGGAACCAGCAGCAAGACATGACATGATTTAAAAACACAGCCACAGTAACGCGTTCAGATTTGTTTTCTTGATTTTGAGATGTTAATCCTGTGGGATTAAGCTGTCAACTATTGCTGTCTTATATATTAAACAGAACAGAGAGTCCAAGAATAGTAAATATGCAGAGAGAAAAAGACTAGAAAAAATGGTGACAGTAGTTACCTCTGGGTGATGGGATTGTGAGTGTTTTTGTTTGTTTTCCTCGTCTTTTTTTTTTTTTTTTTAATATATTGTATTGATTTTATACAGAGAGGAATTGAGAGGGACAGAGAGTTAGAAATGTCGATGAAAGAGAAACATCGACCAGCTGCCTCTTGCACACTCCCCACTGGGGATGTGCCCGCAACCAAGGTACATGCCCTTGACCGGAATCGAACCCGGGACCTTTCAGTCCGCAGGCCGACGCTCTATCCACTGAGCCAAACCAGTCCCGGCCCTCTTTATCCTTTTTAAACATTCATTACAATAAGCATTTATTGCTTATTATGTGTCATGTGTTGTATTGATTGAGGGGGCTTAGAGCAGAGAATGAAGCTGATTCAGCCCTTACTCAGTTAGATCTTTCAAATAGGTCAGCTTTCATATATCCTATAGTAAGTGTGAAATCTTTCTATCATGAGATAAATCTGGCCAGTATTATAAACCAAAATGAATTGAAAAAACACAGTGGCTGTTTTTTTCTGTGGTTTTGGTGAATGAGGCTTTATGGGTTTTTGGTTGTTTTTCCCAGTAGTACCATTTGGAAACTGTTTCATGATTCAGTTAACAATCTACATTGCACCCAGGAAATCTCTGCAATCAGTTTGATGCTGAATCAATTAAAACCTTACTGTTGGGAAGAGGATGGAGGAGCTGTGCTTTCATTGGTGCCTTTGAGATGTGAAGATACTCTCTCCAAAGAGTCTCAGCCAGAAGTTGGAGCCACGAATGTAGCACTCAGATGGACCGTCCACTTAACCTTGCTGCTAGTTCAGGTTCATGACTCACCTAGGAGGCAGATCAAAGCCGAATGGCAGTGGAGCTTGAAAATTGGCTTGTGTCCATGGCTTGAGCAGCTTGGAAAGCCCACATCTTCTATTCAGGGCTCTTACAGAAACATCTGGAAATAAACTTGAAACTTGATGATGAAAGAAAACTCTTTTCCAAAAGGACTCTTATTTCTCACGGGTGACTATTTCTTGACTACCAAAAGATAATAGAATTATTATGGGATTGGGGTTTATGTTTGATCCCTGGTAGGAAAATAGAAACATGGTGGCTGGTATACTGAGCAATTCTTCCGTGAATCATTTCTGACAACCAGTCGCTTTTAAATAAATATACCATTCCCAAGGTTTTGCAGAGACATTTGACTTTATAGGAAGTCTCAGTATGGCCAAGTGTGACATAATATATTTGTGAGAGAAAAATGGTGATTAATTACAAAAGCGGCTCCCTGACTAGTCAGACAGAAAAGAGCTGGAAGCTACAGCCAGTTCCCTGCAAAGACTTTCTGTGAAACTGTGACTTCTGAGCTGGCCTTCCCTGATGTTTCTACTTGTAAGAAATTAGTGAGCTCAGTGGAACATAACGATCAAGTGGAGGCTGAAAAGATGCAAAGTAGGCAATTAATTTAATGGACTCTCTAGAACAGGGATGGGGAATGTCTGGCCCACGGGCCATATAAGGCCCTCAAAATCCAGCCCTGCCAAGGCATTATAGTGAGTTAATTAAATGTTTAACCAAATATAAAAGTCTAATTTTTAAGTTGATAACTTCGTATGGCCCACAAATTATGTTGTAAATATCCAAATGGTCCTCAGCAGAACAAAGAAGTTCCCCACCTCTGCTCTAGAACAACTGCATGAGGTTAGATTTTAACAGTAGGATTCATTTATTTAAAATGAAAGAGGCTGGATATTGTTTAAAATCTTGCTGCTGGCCCTAACTGATTTGGCTTAGTGGTTAAAGTGTTGGCCTGCAGACTGAAGGGCTCCAAGTTCGATTCCAGTTAAGGACATGTACCTTGGTTGCGGTCAATGTTTCTTTCTCATCAATGTTTTTAACTCTAGCCCTCTTCCTTCCTCTCTATAAAAAAAATCAATAAAATATATAATTTTAAAAAATATCTTGCTGCTGTATAAGTTGAGCATGGCCAGAAAAATGAGGGGTCACTCCTCGAAGGCTAAGAGAGATATTGGAAACTACTATATCCAACAGGTATTAACATTATGGAATTCATTATCCCCAGTGGGAGTGGCAGAACATACAGAGCAGATTGCTGGACGGATCTTCATGATTTCTTATTAAAAGAGGCAAATTGGCTGAGGAGAACTGTGGTACTACACACCTGTTGATAGTGTTGATTACCTGGAACATGACCTGAGAAACAGGCTAAGCACAGAGAGAGAGAGAGAGAGAGAGAGAGAGAGAGAGAGAGAGAGAGAGAGAGAGAGAGAGATGTGCTTATGCATACACACATGCATAGAGGTGCTCCAGAGATGGCTTCCAAAATGTTACTTTCATACTTGCAATAGCAATAAAAAGAAAACATAAAATAGTAATAAAATAATTTTTTTCTGGATTTGTGAATCCACAAGGAATTAAGAAGATAAAAAAGTATTGTTTGGGATATTTTGCACAACTTTTTAGGGAAAGGCAACATGTACAATTCTTCTCCTACATCAACTAAAATAGCTTTCCTAGTGGGCCCTGGATTGACGTCAAGATAGCATTTCTTAGGCTATTTCATTCTTAGCCCAAACATCTACTGTTGGACCAGATGACTCATTTTAGACACTTGCATTAAGCACAGCCTCTTGCTTTCATACCTTCCCTCTGTGTAGTATTCTCTCCCCTTTTAAAATATAAGTCAGATCTTTTCTCAAAAGTGTCCAGTGGATTCCCACCTCATTTATAATAAAATTGGGAATCATCACAATGACCTGTGAGGCCCTCGCTGTCTGCTCCCACCACCCTCTCCTTGCCCCACTTTGTTCCCACCTCCTAGGCCTTCTTGCTGCATCATAGACCCATCTGCACTTCCCCCTGAACCCTTCCCAGGTGTCTGCTCAAATATTATCCTGTCCCAAAGGTCATCCCTGACTTTTGCTTTCTAAATATCACTCACCCCTTCCCTTCTGCTGTCACTCTCTGCCTTCTGGCATCCAGTGTCAGCTTTCTCCTTAGCACTTACCACACCTGGCATTTTTTTTTTTTTTTTGGTATATTTTATAGTGACTCTCTGCTACTAAAATTGTAATCTCTAAATGTGAACACTAAAATGGAATCTTAGCTCGTCATTGCTGTGGCCATGCAGCCTACGGCAGTATCTGACAGTGTAGACACTCAATAAAATGTGTCGAAGGAATGAATTCCTGTCTCATTTCTCCATTTTGTGGTTTTGTTTTTGTTTTTGTTTTTAACTTTTCCTTGCAGAGAAGTTGTAACATTCAACCATTTCCTCGAAGCAGCAGCTGAGAAGGAGGTTCAAGGGAAAGCTCGGCTCCAGGACTTTATTGAGAATTTGTTGCAGCGGGTGGAACTGGCGGAAAAGCAGCTGGAGTATTATCAGAGCCAGCAGGCCGCAGGCTTCTGCCGGGACATCAGCGAGCATGTGGTAAGTGTGATAAGTCCTGCAGGTCCAGCCAGAGTGTGAGGTCCTAGGTTTGGTGAGATCCAGTTAAGGACAGAGGAAAAGGGAGCTGGGGAGTGACTTATAGGGACTCTCTAGACATCATTTGATAGTCCTGCCCAGCCATACCTGTGTTATGGAAGTGATACAGGTGCACCCCAGGCACCAGGAAGTAAGCTTAATTCTGATGCACAGTCTTCAGTTCTTCACCCTCCAACTCCATGCCAAGCTGAATTGGTAGAAATGTTTTTATACTTGTAGAATAAGAGACCCTCCAAAAAGATAGTTTGTCTTCCGGGGCTTTTAAATCTTCTGTAAAAATGAAGCATACTCTGTAAAATATTTTGAATATTATATTAAATAATATTCACCTAAATCCTCTGCTCATCACCTGACTTTGGTGGATTTGGAATTCTAAAATTGAAGAGTAGCATGAATATTTTCAGTCTTTAGGCTTTTAAGTAACCCAGAGCTAAGAAGTGTTAAAATTCTACTTGGCTAAGCCAGGAGGATATTAGAAAGAAAACAGTGGAAGGCCAGGAGGAAGCAAGGAAGACCATTAGTTCTCTCTGTTATTTATATTTCTGTGCCCACCACCTCTGCTCAGTTTATTTTATTTTATTTTATTTTTTTAATATATTTTATTGATTTTTTACAGAGAGGAAGGGAGAGAGATACAGAGTTAGAAACATCGATGAGAGAGAGTCATCGATCAGCTGCCTCTTGCACACCCCCTACTGGGGATATGCCCGCAACCAAGGTACATGCCCTTGACCGGAATCGAACCCAGGACCCTTCAGTCCCCAAGCCGACGCTCTATCCATTGAGCCAAACTGGTCCCGGCATCAGTTTATTTTTCAATTGCTTGAAAATTAAACATCTTTTATAAGAAGTAGCCAGTCATTATTTCTTGTCATGCTGTACCATGTGACCAACAGTTGAACAGCATCTCTGCTTTGTAGTCAGAGGTGTATATATGCATGCATGTCCAACGTATACACACATATAAACATATGCACATGTGTACACATGCATACATACATATAAAGAAGCATGATAGAAAATTAATGAATATTTATGTCCATGCTCTCTGTGTCCCAAATACGAGTGACATACATCATCTGCCTTCATCAGACTTGATTTACCAAGGGAAGACTTGAATAATTCCAATAAAGGGCAGCTCAGAGTAAAACAGGGGAGTTGGATGTGGGAGCTGCTTGTGAGTAGAGCACGATCGGGCTGTTGGGAGGTAAACTCTGACTAGTGGAGGGAGTGTACATCTCTCTGAGAAGACCAAGAGTGAGGTGTTTGATGTATAAAAGGATTTAGCAGGTGTAGGCTCCCCTGTGCTCATGTGTAATCCCCTAACTCTGCTTTGAACCATAACGAACCACATCGTGAGACAATCTGCAGACCCTGGGACATGTCTCCTTTTTACTTAGTCTCCTTCATCATCATCATCATCATCATATACACTCACCTATGACATTAGGAGCCATGTCTTTGATGTAATTAAAGGGCTGAGTCTGGCCTCCCTGGGTATCTGTGGCTCTAGAGACACAGAGGAACTTGGGTGCTTTTAGCGGGAGAAGCTTTGGATCGTGTCTTTATTATCCTCTGGCCCAGCTTAGTGAAGGGTCCAGAGCATCAAGAGGCCAGGCTTCTGGAGCCTCAGACTCACCCACCTAGGGGAGCTCTGGGCCCCAGCATACCCCAGGATCCGCAGGACATTCTGACCTACTCCCCCCACACATCAGCCGCTTCCTTCAGAGCAGCTGGGAATACCATGCCCAGCCTGGCCTGGCTCTCGCCATCTCAGCTAAGGCTACACATATTATAGAACACAATGTGGATCCTCTTTATCTCCTCTTCCATCCACCCAGTTCTCTTCCTCCACTCCTTCCTCTATTTCTCATTACCACCTCCAGATAGCAGTGACATTTCTAAGTCGGTGTATAATTTAATTCTTTCCAAGGTGTCTTCTAGCTCTAAGATTCTTCTGTGCTCTAGAAAAGCCTCCTCCCCCGCCCCCCTCCCATTTAATGCCTTCTCTAAAATAATGTTTCGGCATCTGTTTCTTTCCCTTTATCCCCTTGAGCATGTTTGTTCTTTTTCACCTGGCTGGTTTCTAAAAGTGTACTCTGCTTACTCAGATATTTTGCTTTTATGCTCTGAAAAATGCTGTCGAATTAGACACAAAGTGACCCAGTATCCCATCTGCCAAAAAAATCACGGACAGAACTGCTCACACAGAAGGTCATGAAACAGCTTGGATAATCTTATTTTAAGTGTTGCATTTATTTCCTACAGGCTGCTAAATGAGGACTAGCAGTAATTCATTGAACACTTGCTTATTGGGGCTGCCGCAGCGCTTACTGCGTGCTGAGGGAACTGCTGTGAAGGAGATGGGAGAGGCCCCTGCTCTCAGTGAGGAAGGGCTCACAATGAGCAAGTAAGCAAATAACGGAGATCATTCTGAAAGCAATAACCACTGATCAAGAACAAAGTCAGATGACACGTGTAAGATGTCTGCTTCAGTGAAACCCTTCCAGGAAAAGCCTTGCTGAGGAGGCAGTTTTGCACTGTGGCCTGGATAACAACGAGCCAGCCCTGAAAATACGCAAGTGGAATGTTCTAGGCAAGGGAATAGGAACTGCCTTAGGAGGGAACAGACTTGGTACCTTTGAATGATAGCAGATGAAGTCAGAGAGTTGGGAAGGATCAAGGTCATGCCGGGGCTTGTAGGTCCCATAAGGAGTTTGGAGCACAGAGAGAAGCCATTGACGGGTTTGATGTTGGAGGTAGCATGGGTTTTAGCAGAAAGCCTGGTGCTCTCTGGGGAATTGAATGGAGGAGTGCAAGAAGGAGAGAAGTGTTGGAAGGCTGTTGCGGTGTGGCAGGGGAGAGGAGGTGGCAGTTTGGATAGAGTGGAGGCAAAGAGAAGTGATGGGTATGGAATGTGTCCTGGGAGTAGAATGGTTAAGATCACTTGGCCTTGCTGAAGGATTAGATTTATCAGGTGAGGATAGGAGGAATCCAGAATGAATATGAGATTTTGGTCTGAGCAGTTGAGTGTGCAGGGCTGCCGGAGGCCCTAGGGGCTCGAAGGAACAGTGGCCTCTTGTGTTCACGGGGAGGAGAGCACGTGAAAGTCCACAGTGTGTGGTAACTGGTCCCACCTTCACCCAAACCTCATCATCTGTAGGATCACAGGAGATATTCTGATCCAGCCATGAGTTCCATTTAACTTTTTCTGTCTACATTTCCTTGTTTGTATACAAACACATGTTTTTTAGGGAGGCCTTGCAGAGTGAAGACTTGGGTTTGAAGTTCAGTCCTAACACTGGTAAAGCATTGAGGCTTTAACCAGCTACTTAACTTTTCTGCCTTAGTTTCCATATCTGAAAAATGGGGATAATATAAGGCTTACCTCTTAGGGTTGTTTTGAGGGTTAATTGTGCTTGTTGCATGGTGAGTGTTTTACCCAGTGTGTGATGTATAGACATGCACAATTTATGGTACCATATGTGAGGTGATGGTTCATCTTTACCTATCTTTATGTCTGCATTTCCTTTTCTGTAATGCACAGTAAATTATTCCTGTTTCCTGAGGTCCCAGCAGGGTCCATTAGTTACATCCATAAATGTGCTGAGATTGTGGTTCTTAAAATGTTTTGAAAGTCAGGGACTCCTTTGAACATTTGAAAACACTGTTGGCCTTTTCCCCAGAATGGGAAGCATATGCATACATATCCATTCTCTCTCTTTCTCTCTCCCCAACTGGCCCCACTCTCCCTCCTCCCCCCCCCCATCTCTCTCTCTCATAAAATCCCAAAGTGTCTTGTGTATACACATAAGCAATACATATACAAACTATATATATACATCCATATAGTAAAGTGAAAAATTATTTTTTTGTTATTTTTTGGAGCCATCTGGCCCACCTTCTTTGTTCTTTTTTATTTTTTTTTAATTTTATTGATTTTTTACAGAGAGGAAGAGAGAGGGATAGAGAGCTAGAAACATCGATGAGAGAGAGACATCGATCAGCTGCCTCTTGTACACTCACCACTGAGGATGTGCCCGCACCAAGGTACATGCCCTTGACCGGAATTGAACCTGGGACCTTTCAGTCCCCAGGCCGATGCTCTATCCACTGAGCCAAACCGGTTTCAGCTGACCCACCTTCTTTGTATGTTGCATACTCTCACAACCCTCTTGTAAGGAAGGTGCCTTTTTCTGTTCATATTTACTAACCTCATGCCAAAGCCAGCCAGTGTGAACAGGGTCAACAATAAGGCTGACTTTGATTGTCAGAAAGCAGAAGGCAACCTTCTTGGGGACATGACCCTCAAAAGTTAAGAAAACTTCTTTCTGATTTGCTCCTGACTACAGCTCAGGCTGCAGACAAAAGAATCTATGCCGAGCCTCGTTTCTCAGGTTTAGTCCAGCAGGGGGCACGTGTCTTGGCCACCTTGGGCCCTGCATTTTCTTTGTCATTCTCATCTTCTGCTTGTCTTCCTACCAATTCTTTAGTGACGGAGATCAGCAACAGAAGGTTTGGGATACACTGGGTTGGCCTGTAAAATGGATGGTGACATCTGGATCACAAAATGATAATTATCAATTTATTCTGAAAATGATATTCCTAGCTTGGCCACGAACGCTCATGAAGATATTTTAATGGGAATGAAAAATAATTTCAATGTTAGATGGCCTCAGGGACAATCATGAAGTTGTTGGTCTTCATATGCTCTGATTTTAGAAATTACGTATTTTAGGCAATAAACATTTTATGCCAATTTTTCCCTTAGTTGATACACTATGACCAACCACAGCTGTAGTAAATTAGCTGCAAATGCAGTCTGAATCCATCAAGAAATAATGGTACATCATTCCAATTTTTAAAAACATGTTTCTTCAAATGTTGCTCTGTTGGGGGACTGATGTTGGCTTCTTGCAAATCTCAGAACAGGAAGCCAGAGAGGCTCCCTGAGTGAGCGGAGGCAGAGCGTGAGAAGTGCCTGCTTGCTGCTGTGGCGATGCTGCCAGTAGTTCCTGGTTCCTTAGTGGGAATACCGTTTCTTTAAAATCTAAGCAAGATTTTATAAACCAGATTCAACCTTCATGTTAAGTAATGTTTTTTCTTATTTGTTTTCCGTTAGCTTACAGATAGCTCTTCAAATAGGAAACCCAGATGCCTGTATGTATACCTTTTTATACTTTGGCCCTATGATAATGTTTGCATGTTTTCCTGTTGCATTTTGTTTGGCATCTATAATGTAAATGGTTTTGAGGGTCTCAGGTAAAAATTCACTAGCTTATGTAGTTAACTTTCTAAAATGTGAGTGTGACTTTTATTTTTTTTTTTTTTTGGTACTACTCACCTAAAGATATTTTTTCTATTGATTTTTAGAGAGAGTGGAAGAAGAGGGAAGAGAAACATTAATGTGAGAGACATATTAATTGCTTGCCTCCCGCACACGTCCTAACCATAGCCCAGGAAGCAAACCTGCAACCCAGGCACATCCCCTTGCCCAGGAATCAAATCCAAGACTCTTTGGTGCAGGGGTCAACACTATAACCACTGAGCACACCAGCCAGGGCTCATGTGACTTTTAGTTATGCTAGTTGTCTAGTAGTCTATGGCAGTATGATAGTACTATAGGAGTATTTATATGGTATTATGTAGTATAATTTTTCTCTTCTTAAGCTATAGTTAATCATAATAGCTCTATAATACTATCAATGTAATATGTGTACTATATTATATATATGCACTTATACCATGAATCACATACTTTATAATAACTGTATTGCAAATTTGTCTGAGTCCCTTAGTAGTTACTTAAAGATTCATGAGATATGGATTCTGCTCCCACCTTCTCTGTAGACCAACTGTATATATTATCCATTTAAATCTCTGTTCCTCTCTATATGTCGCTGAGAATGCAAATTCATGAGTTCCATTCAGGAAGGTCACCAGAATTTTTGGAAGAAAAATACCAATATATGTCATTTGTTTTATTGGCAGCATTATCCCTGCTCTAGCATGCAGGAGTGATTATGCTATAGTTAGCTTTCATTCTTTTAAGTTTTGTTTTTTTGTTTTTTTTAATTTTCTGCTCATCTCCCTCCTCCCACCTGACCATCTGTAGAAGCCGAGGACACCCACATTCAGCGTGTAACCACCCCGATCTCAAGACTCATTTTCATCCAAAGGGAAGGAGCTACCTGAAAAAAGCCAAGGAGGAGAGGGCCAGCATGCAGCCTGCTAAGTCCATTCACGACCAGGCCGACACCCCAAGAGAACTCTGCAGACCGCTGAAGAAAGGGGAGCTTCTGGGATTAAGTCGGAAAGGCAATGTCAGGCCCAAAATGGCCAAGAAAAAGCCAACAGCGCTTGTGAACATCATCTAAAAGGGTGGGTGGCCTGGACCGTCCCCCTGGGCTTTGGGGAATGTTGCCTAGGGGCTAACAATAATGTCCTTTTAGATGTACCCCAAAGTAAGACACAATGAGAAAGCAAAGGGCTAACACCTTTACTTCCTGTTCGTGCAATCATGTAGATTAGTCAGAATTTTACAAACAGACATCTTGGGGAACCAGAATTTTATTACAGTTTTCTTGTAAAAGCAAGAGGCAAATTACAGAAATAATTTTTTAAAAGGAAGCAGTCTTTCCCAAAAGTTTAGTAACACAAAGGTACATGTTTTAAAATAGCCCAGCCGAAACCGGTTTGGCTCAAGGATAGAGTGTAGGTCTGCGGACTGAAAGGTCCCAGGTTCGATTCTGGTCAAGGGCATGTACATTGGTTGCAGGCACATCCCCAGTAGGGGGTGTGCAACAGGCAGCTGGTCGATGTTTCTCTCTCATCGACGTTTCTGGCTCTCTATCTCTCTCCCTTCCTCTCTGTAAAAAAAATCAATAAAATATATTTTTAAAAAATACATTAAATAAAATAAAATAGTTAGCCCAGTTCAGTTCTTTCTGCATCTGACATTCTATGCAGTGCTGACTAATGCTCAGACCCAAGGCCACACAAGATGCCAGGTGCTGAAAAAGATTCATCTGTATCCAGTGCTCTCAAAATTGTGAGATGAGGAACAAGAATATAAATTCTCTTAATAGCAGTGAAAAAAATATTTTTCTTTGTTTTTAACCTTCCCGTCAATTGGTTTGAAAGCCTCCAAAATACGAATTTCCGTTTCCCAGTGTATTCTGGTTAATCAGAACATCGGCGTTGGGGTTGCTATAGGGACTCGTCTATTCAACTTCAGTTCTCATTTGGATGGACTGTTTTCCAGCTTGTTTACTAATATTTGACCCAGGTGTTTTGTTTCCCTGGATGCATGTTTGTTCAGACTTCGGTGCACCTCTGCTGTCCCCTTTGGCTGGGTGTTCTGCACCTTAAGACCATGCTCCGGCCTCTGTCTTAACAGCTGTCTCTATTGCTGTGGTTGCAGGAGGACATAAAACCCATCACGGGCTCAGGGCCTGAATGGTCGGATGTCGGCGGATCGCACGTGCAGTGCATTGCGAACCATCCTGGAGACGAGCCCTTTCCCAAGACCTTCCCCTGGCAATGTCCACGGCCTCTCTGCGAGCTGCAGGCATGGCTTTCTCCCTGCTGGCCTACCTTGTCCACCTCCTGCTGCTTTTGTGCCCTTTCAGGATCAAAATTTATGATCTTACCTTTCAGCCGGCTATCTGAAGTGTCATTGTGCACTGCTTTCTAAAGTAGCTTCTGAAATAAACAGGACATGTGGGATCTGGAATCTGAGACTGTCCTCCTCTCCCGCCCTAAAATGGCCTTTATTTCCAAAAGACCCATCTGTTAAGAACCTCCTGCTTTATGATTTTCTTCAAGAATGAATTTTCATGTTTTTTAAATTTAGTGTTTATCATTAGATCTCCTGCAGAGTTTACAAGTGCTGACATCCTTCCAGAAGTAAGAATAATTATGCCCACAAATATATACATATATATAACACATATAAAATATATATGTCAAGTATATTAATTTATTTTTAAGTACTCATGGAAAAGGTATGTGTTTGTGATGGGTGGTTTTTAAACTATGTATGTTAGTTTATGTAAATTGAATTCTCTCATTTTAAAAATTAAAACTGTAACCTAATTAATATTAGTAGAATTATGGTTGTTATTACAATAAGCATCAGATTAGCAGTGCATTAAAAATAGGTAATTAAGCAATTACTTAAAATGACAGTAAGTTGAAAAGTGTAACTTATCATTATATAAATATTTTTAGCCTGTTACAGTGAAAATGTTGAATTTTGAATCTTGGCTTTAACTTTTGACTCATGGGTGTGGGCAGTTCATGTGGTGTATAGGCAACTATCAAGTGGAAGAAAACATTGCTGTGAATAACACTGTTCTGGCTAACATTGTAAAAATTGTGATGTTATATGATTAATTTAGAGAATTAATCTTCCCCAAGATTATTTATTATTGGTATTTATGCCACGATTCACTTTAGCCTTTTACATACTAAAAAATTGACTTGTTGGTTGTATTGCATGCTAATTGTCCCCATAACACAGATTGTTTTTAAAGATGGTATAACCAAACTTTCTTTTCTAATTTTATTTAGTGAAAACAACTTTTTCAAAGTCCATTTAACATGCTAGAAGACAGAAAGCTCTTTTTAACAGTGATACCCAGTGATCTCCAGAAAGCGCCATAATGTCATATCTACTCTATGTAATTACACAAGACAAATGATTTTAAGATTATATTACAAACAATTTTTAGAAAAATTTCAATTAAAGTCTGACCCTCACACAAGAAATGCATTAGACACATAACTTTGCTATGGGACGTGGAAGCTGGCTCACTCAGAAGGGTATCCCACTTACATGCCATGGCCTGAGCCGTGTGCCATGTCTCATTTGGGTCTTATTTAAAAAAATATATGTATTATTTGTCCACATGGGAAGCCAGTCTTAGAGTTTCTCTTTGGAAGAAAAACCAAAGTTTCTGGGAAAACATGTTCAAGGTTAAACTGAAAAAATGGATCTAATTTATTTTGTAATGAAAAAAAAAATCTGTATTTGAACTGTTCTTTCATTCTTCCTCCCCACTCCCACCCCCACCCCCAAACTATGTTACAGATTCTTAACTACAAAATCCAGATTTCTTAGACACAATTTTACAGGGTCGGTTAGTTTTCTGGAAGTTGGAATATTCTCTTCCAAGAATTAAAAAGGATGTTTTTAGATTATGAAATATTATAATAAAAAGCTATATTTCTGACTAATCTGTTACTATGTTTTGTCTGAAATGTTTCTGTGGAGCCAAATATGCTGATCCATTAACAGAGAACAAAGTGGAATAAGCTGTTTGTTGTACATACAATCAGCAGGATCTTGTATCTTTAAGCTTTCTTAAGAACTTAGCTTGATCGTTTTTTGTTTATTATAATGTCTATATCTCAAAATTCTTTTTACATATGTTCACACTGAGAAATCCTCATTACAAGCTCATTTGGCACTTTTCTCCCATCTTTCTTCATAACTACAAGTAATTTTCCTACACTGTATTTTTAAACTTGTCAACTCTTAGCGAAAAATCACAAACAGATTTCACAGTATACATCCCGACCTATATATATTATACATCCTAGTCATTGCAAGGTCCAGGAAGTAACCAGAAGAGATAACAGAAAGAAGTATGTCATTGGTAGAATTACTCAACCATAGGTCTTTTAAGAACCATGGAATTGGGAAAATTTAGGAGACTCCATTTGTTCAGAAGCTCTTAGAACTATTAGGGAGATGGCCTCAGTCTGTTCTCAATAAGTACTTACTTATATCAAAGTTAATGGCTTCACCAAGTCATAATATTCTTGAGAAATAACTGCGTCTGCACTGCCCTTTTCTTTGTGGTAGATGGGACCCTTGTCTGGGTGGGGAATTGGACTGATTCTTCAAAGTACACATAACTCTGAGATTCTGTCATAGGTACCGATGCTACTGTATTGTAAATGTTGGCTGCACATAAAACTTAGGGTTGACTTGACAAATTGATTTAGAAGATTTTATTTCACCAACTTGAGCTATCAGAAGTATTTTAACCAGGCGCCCTTAATTATCCTCAGAGATGCTGTTGAGGTAGGCAGGGCGAGGAGGTAACATTTCCTTCTCCTAGCAGGTACAGAAACAGCAGCTGGGAAAATGGGTGATGCGTATCTGGCTGTTACCTTGGTCAGGACCATGTGCTTCTCAGGAAGCATCTCACCTCACTGAATGTGGTTTCAGTGTTTAAAGAGAAAGTGCCATTTTTTTGTTTTGTTTTGTTTTGTTACAACATAGCTCCTGAGTGCAAACCAACCATTTCCTCTGGTGTTCAGTTGACTCAATAGCAATTCTGTCCAGCCATGGAGGAGAACACTGGGCTCAGTAAGAGGTGGTGTGCGGTATGGGAGGCAAACGCACGCCTTCCTCAGGCATTTTTTCAGGTAGATCCAAGTATGCTAAACTTTTGCCTTTCTTCGTGACTTCACCATGCTTTATAAGGAAGGTGGGGCTGACAGTGGTGTGAAGAGTTGCCCAGGGCCCAGGAGATTCTTCATCAGGCAGACCAAGGGCAAGAACCAGAATATTGTCTTCCTGCATCTCAGCCAGTGCTTTTTGCACAACATTGAGCCACTTTCTTGACCAGATTCCTAGAAAATAGTCCTAAATGTATGCATTTGTTGATGATACAATGGCTCTCATCCTAAAATTCAGTTTAATATTTATTATCCATTATTGTACCTATTTAATGAAAGCCACTGTGGGAACTAAAATGTCACCAGTCTATCATCTCTAGACACACACACACATGCACACACCCAGCTTATTGTGCTGCCACCCAAGTTTGCCAAGTAATTCTCAAATTTTAGATATAAGTGTGTTAGAGTTTAATGCACACATTTTTGGATACTTCGGGTTAGTAGAGAGACACTGCATTCACCTTGGTCAGCTATATCATAGAGAAACAGAAAGCCAATTATATGGATTATATGTCTCAGCTCCTCTTTGTTCAAGATAGAGGGGCCATTCCCCACCTTCTCAGGAGTGCACCACTTTTTTGTTAGTTCCTATTTAAGTTGGCCTGTAACTTGACATCATAGCCAAAATTTCTTATATAATCCTAAACACAAAGGACTGGTGGAGGGAAC